AAATAAATACATGTCTGTCGCCTCCTCTCTCTCTCTCTCGTTTTTTTTTTTTTTTTTTTGAGATGGAGTCTCGCTCTGTCGCCCAGGCTGTAGTGCAGAGGCTGGATCTCAGCTCACTGCAAGCTCCGCCTCCCGGGTTTAGGCCATTCTCCTGCTTCAGCCTCCCGAGTAGCTGGGACTACAGGCGCCCGCCTTTTTTACTAGAGACGGGGTTTCACCGTGTTAGCCAGGATGGTCTCGATCTCCTGACCTTGTGATCCGCCCGTCTTGGCCTCCCAAAGTGCTGGGATTACAGGCTTGATCCACCGCACCCGGCTGTCGCCTCATCTCTTAGCTGCCCACAGAAAAACTTCTCCATGACTTTTTACAACACAGGACGGTAAACTGGGGCAGTGGAGACATCATCCCTGGCTCTGCCACGTAGTAGTTATGCATCTACAGTAAATTATTTTTGTCTTTTTTTTTTTTAATTTCTCTGTGGAGATTCCAGAAGTATACAATTAAGTTCTGAACCTCAATCTTCTCTCAGATAAAATAAAAATATGGCTGGGTGCAGTGGCTCATGCCTGTAATCCCAACACTTTAGGAAGCCAAGACTGGCAGATCACTTGAGCCCAGGAGTTCAAGACCAGACTGGGCAACATAGCGAGACACCATCTCAATTAAAAAAAAAAAAATTAGCCAGGAATGGTAGCACACGCCTTTAGTCCCAGCTTGAGAGGCTGAAACGAGAGGAGCCCTTGAGCCCAGGACGTTGGGGTTGCAGTGAGTTACGTTTGCACCACTGCACTCCAGCCTCGGTGACAAAGCAAGACCCTGTCTCTTAAAAACAAAACTAGGCTGGGTGCGGTGGCTCACGCTTGTAATCCCAGCACTTTCGGAGGCCAAGGTGGGTGGATCATGAGGTCAGGAGATCAAGACCATCCTGGCAAACATGTTGAAACCCTGTCTCTAATAAAAATCCAAAAATTAAAAATTAACTGGGCTTGGCGGCACGTGCCTGTAATCCCAGCTACTTGGGAGGCTGAGGCAGCAGAGTCCCTGGAACCGGTAAGGCAGAGGTTGCAGTGAACTGAGATCACGCCACCATACTCCAGCCTGGCAACAGAGCTAGACTCCATCTCAAAAACAAACAAACAAAAAAAAAAAGTGGGGCACAGCGACTCACGCCAGTAATCCCAGCACTTTTGGGAGGCCAAGGCAGGTAGATCACCTACGGTCAGGAGTTCAAGACCAGCCTGGCCAACATGATGTAACCCCGTCTCTACTAAAAATACAAAAAGTAGCCAGGTGTGGTGGCACATGCCTGTAATCCCAGCTACTCGGGAGACTGAGGGAAGAGAATCAACTGAACCCAGGAGGTGGAGGTTGTGGTGAACCAAGATTGCACCACTGCACCCAGCCTGGGTGACAGAGTGAGACTCCCTCTCAAAAAAAAAAAAAAACAACAGCACCTATCTCTTGGTATTTCTGAAATGGCCAAATGAGATAATGCATTAAAACCCTTAGCACAGTGCCTGTCATGCATAATGTTACCTATTAATTATAATATCATCAGTGGCATTATATTAGAAGGGAAATACACAGAAAATTGCCTCTTATCCTGCACTCAAAATAATTCCCTAGCCCAAGAAGTGAATGAACTGAGAAGTAATTACTGATGATCCTCTGGCTACACCCAGGCCTACCGTCATTCAGCCACTCTGCCTCAGCCCCAACCCCAAGCAAAAATTACTTTTAGGAACTAAATAACCCCTTTCCTGACCAAAATTGCTCATTCGGAAGCCAGGATCCTCACTGCTTAGGAAAGCTTGGGTATTCCACGGTTATCTTTATCCTGGGGCCGAACTTAAAGTCAGCTCAAAGTCACGGTCTAACCATAAACCAATTTGCTCTGTTTTCGTAAACTGTCTGCAAACAAAACATAATCATCTGGTTTTCCCGTTGTTCTGAAGCAAAACAAAAATATTTAAAGTCACTCATATGAGAATCTAACAAGCAGTTTAAAGAGGAGTCAAAACATATTTTGTACTCTGGATGGAACAGGTAAGGAATCAGGCTTAAGGATTAGCCATGATAGATAATAAACCCAGTTATTATTCACTAGGAAACAAGAAAGTGAAGATAAAACAAAACCAAAACACTACAAGACCAATAAAACAGCTATTAGTCACCAGCTTTTTTTTTCATTTATTCTTTTAAAATCAGCCCACATCAAGCTGATTTCTTAAAGAACCTGTCAGGATTAAATTTCTCAAGAGAAGGAAGCAGGAGGAAATCTGCTTTGTCACATTGCCTAAAACATACCCACAAACCAAAACTAGTGTGCAAAACTGCTATGAGAATGGGAGGAGTCAGACACTGCAACCAGCAAAGTCCTCATGTTGGAATCATTTCTGACCGTCCTTCCTGTCTTAGAAAAGGGGAATGAGATGCCAGTTCAAAAACTGCTTTTCCGGGCCTGCGAAGTACTGAGCCTACCAGCATCTCAGCTTTCCAGCTTCCACATCCGCCCTTATTAATGTCCAAACAGAGCTGTGTCTTTTCCATGACTTGTCCATTTGTTTAACCTGGTAGAGTTGATTCCATTTTATAACACACACACGAGCACATACACACACAATCCAGGCCTCAGAAAACCAGTCGGCTTTTAGGAAGGTAGTCACATACTCTTGTTTCCTAAACAAACTTCAGAAGTATCTCAAATTTGATTCGACTTTGAAAAATTCCATTCACACCCACCGTTTTGAGAAGACACAGTGATATGTCGCTATCATTAAAAGTAAGATCAAAGTGAAAACACGAAAAAAAAAACAGCACTTTGAAAATACAAGGCCCAGGCAGGTGACCCAGGTTCCCAACTTGTCTTCTCTAATGCTTTGCTGGGTGACTTCTGCCTGCTCCCTGTCTTCTCTGGACCTCAATATCCTCATCTAAGAGCTCTGAGGGGTTTCAGCTATCTTGAAAGTCTGGTCCAGCTCAAAAAGGCACTGATTCCCTGAAATATCCATTATCAAAATGAACTGCTGAATGTGGATTTTGAAGATGCTTCTTCTGAGAGCCTTTTAGATTTCCTATTTCATAATGTATCCAAAAAAAAAAAAAAGAAGAGAGTCCTTTTGAGGTTCTACAGAACAAACCATAGAGGAAGGAAATATTTAAATACAGGACAAGTGTAGAGTGGCAATATGCTAATGAAATACAAGGAAGGATTGAGCAAGCAATAAATTTACCCAAGAAACTTTTTGCTGATTGAAAGCACAGCTAGCAACCAGTATGGCTGGAGCAAAACAAAAAATTATATTTATAATTTAAAATTTTTTTTGCTGAAGCGAAAAAATAAATTACATATATATTTAAAAATAAATGAAGCTTTAAGTTGGGGGGTTTTCTGTTTTTTGTTTTTTGGGGTTTTTGTTTGTTTTAGCATAAACTTTGATACAAGAAATCTTCAAATGCAAGGCTTTTTTAATTTCAGACACTGCTTCCCTGAATTTCCTTGCATGGTCAGGGAGAAGACAGCCCCCCCACACACTGTACCTTAATAATGAGAATCCCATCTGGAAACCCTTAATATTTACAAAGCTCTTTTAGACATTGGCCAGTGGAAGCCCCTCAAACAATTCCATCGGGAAGGGGATGCTACACCCATTCCACAGATGCTGTTAACTGAGGGTAGAGGAGCCTGAAGAGGAAGTCCAGCCCTGCGGCCTGGACCTGGAGCCAGTCTCCTCACATCTACTCCAAGGTTCTCTGCAGGAGGTCACATTGCCTTCCGGCCCCCAGGAAAGCCTGTGCAGAACCTGCTGAGGAAACTGCGAGGAGAGACCCCTGGATGCCGAGGGTCACGCAGCCCCTAGGCCCAAGCCCCTTTCTCCTACTGCCTGCTGGGCGGCATTTCTGCCCCAGGGAGATGCTTCTGCTCTCTCCTGTATTCAAGCTGGAGAAGTTTTCCCTGAAACCAGGTTCCATCCCCAGTCAATAACTCATTTCCTCAGAGATGGTGTCTGTATAAACCAAGCAAGACGGTCATTTGCAGAAACGCACAGCAGGGCAGCCCCAGGCCACTTCCCCTGCGGGTTCAAACCCCGATAGGCTCCAGAGGCTGAGAGAACGCACCCGCTGGCTCAGCTCCCATGGCACGGGATGGGTGCTCCGCTCTTTCACTTCTCTTCCTCAGTTCCCCATCTGTGAAATGGGAATGCCCCTCAGCTGCCCTGCCTCACCCCCTATGGAAATGCCAGGAAGGGGAAAGGTCGGTCACCAAAACGCCAGGGACAGCATTATCCGAAAAGTGAAGCAAGACAAGAGGGCGGGGGGGGGGGGGGGGGACGGGGAGCCGGCGCCCACAAAGCACGAATTAAACACCCATGAAATCAAGCACGACGCCAAAAGGGCCGGCTACCTTGAGAAAAGCCAGCGTTCGGCCACCTTTCCCCCGGCCTGGGAACTTTCCCCAGAAACAGCGCCCTCGGCCCCGAGTCCCGTGCCTCGCCCAGGGCCCCACTGCCCAGCTCCTGGCCCTGCCCTGGCGCCCCCGCCGCCCCTCGGGCCCCTGCAGGCCGGGTCGGAGGTCGGTCGGCAAAGGCTCGGCCAGGCCGCCCGGCACTGCGTCCCCAGACCTCCGCAAACACGCCCCCTCCGGCCGCCTCGGGCTGGCAAGCCGGGCCCGTGCCGGCCAGATGTGCCCAGCGCCGGGAAGAGCCGGGCCGGGGACGGCCTGGAACCCGCGCGGAGGCTTTCCCCGGGAGGCTCGGGCACCGCGGAACCCGGATCCCGCCTCCCTCCCCCTGATCCTGGGCAGCCGGAAAAGGGCTCGGTCGCCGGCGTGCGAGGCCGGCCGGGGTCCCCGCAAGCCGCCTTCAAGAGGGGGGATCCGAGGATCCGGACCCTCGCCCCCTTCCACAGAACCCCCCAGGCGGGGTACTCCCAGGCAGGTGCAGGCAATGCCAGTCCCGCCCCAGCCTCCTGGCCCCCGCCCGAGCCCACCCGGCGCTTACCTGGCCCAGGCGCAGCAGCAGCAGCAGCAGCGGCAGCGCCCAGCGCAGCCCGGGTGAGCGCGGAGGCAGCCGCGCCTCCCGCGCCGCCGGCTTCATGCCCCGCGCGCCCTGGAACGTGCCCGGGACGCGCGAATCGGGCCCCGCCGTGCGCCCGAGCCCGGGCACCGTCGTCGCCGCCTCCTGCCGCCTCCTCCGCCTCCTCCTCCGCCAGCCGGTCCGCCTTGTCCCCGCTCCGCCCGCCCCGGGCTTCCCCGGGGACATGGCAGCGGCGGCGGCGGCCGCGGCCACACGCCGGAGCCTGGCGCGGCTGCCGCGGGGGGGCCGCGTCCCTGAGCGCGCAGGGGCTTCGCGGGGCGGAGCGAGCGGCGCCCACCCCCAGCGCGCGGCTCCCCGGTCCCGGCTCCCGCGGCTGCTCCCGCTGCCTCCTCCGCGCGTCATGCGGCTGGGGCTGCAGGGAGCCGCGGCGAGCGCTCGGCCCCCTCCCTTCCCCTCCCCCTCTGAATATTCATCGCTTCCTCCCGCCCCGGCCGGCCCGGCGGCTGCCGAGCTCCGCAGCCCCTCGCCGCCGCCCGCCGCTGCCCCCGCCCCCTCCGAGCCGGCCGCTGCTCTCCTCCCGCGGGCAGAGGAAGCGCCCCCGCCTCGCCCGCCCCTCCGCCCAGCCCTCCCACATTCCTGGGACTTCGAGCCCAGGACCAGGCTCCGTGGCTCTAGCGCCTCGAGCCGGCACCCCTCAAGACGGGCTTCCCTTCTCTCACCCGGTCCACGGCGCCGGGTTCGGGTAGGCAGAGGTTGACCGAGACCCCTGCTGAGAGCGCAGCCAAGCCTTATTGTATACAGCATCCCGGCGAAGGCGCGCTTGACCTGTCCCTGGGTGGGCTGGGGGTGCGTGAACCCAGAAATTGTAGGAGGCACGCTGTACATTGTGTTCTGTCCCCCAGACCCCGAGCGCCGGCCAGGGAGGCAGAGAGCCCAGTAGAAGCCAGTCCAGGGATTAGAACCCCAGCGGTGGCATATGGTGGACCGGGCTCTGCTGGCAGTACCAGCTCTGTGAACTCTGGAGACGCATTTCTCCTCTCTGGCCGCCCCCACACCCACCTCTCCTCCCGTGTGAAATAAAGATCGTACTAGGACCTGTGGAGAGAGAGGTCCACTGCACTCACGATTAGACGGGACAGTGGTTAGTAAAGTCCTAAATACCTGGCCTGACACATCGTGGGACTCTACATATGTTAGCTCTTCTGGAAGCTTTCATCACGTTGTTAAAGAGGTCCATGAACTGACAGGAGTTAAAAATCACAGCAGATACTACTCCTCTGCCCATGCACAGAGGAAGACGCTAGGATCAGGGAGGCTAAGCCACTTGCCCAGGAGAAGCCGCGAGAGAAAGGGCCAAACCAGAGAGTGCTAAGGAGGAAGAGGTTAATTCCAACCAGGAGAGAGGTGACACCTGAGCTGGGCTTTGAAGGATGGGTTGAGTTTCACCAGGCCAGTAGAGGGGAGAAGTGTCTCAGGAGGTGGGGCCAACTTGGCAGAAAAGAGGCAGCAGATGCTTCAAGCTTGGCCTTGGGAGAAACAGGAATGGGAGGCTGGGGGATTCATACAGGGAGAGACTTCAAAGGCCAGGATAATGAGTCTAGGCTGGATTCTGTGTGCAGACCACCAGGTGGCCAACGCTACCTCCAGACACCCCTTGGGTCTCAGGTTACCATCTACAAGATGGAAACACACATTCACGTACAGGGTCTACGTGGCTCCCACCAGACGACACACCCAGAGAAGCACTAAGGATAAAGAAACTTGGCCGAGCCGCAGGATGGCTCACGCCTGTAATCCCAGCACTTTGGGAGGCCGAGGTGAGTGGACCACCTGAGCTCAGGCGTTTGAAACCAGCCTGAACAACAGAGTGAAACCCAGTTTCTACAAAAAATACAAAAATTAGCCGGGTGTGGTGGCACACGGCTGTAGACTAAGCTACCCGGGAGGCCGATGCAAGGATGGCTTGAACCTAGGCTGCAGTGAACCAAGATGGCGACATTGCACTCCAGCCTGGGGAATAAGGTGAGACCATGTCTCAAAAAAAAAAAACAGGCTGGGCGTGGTGGCTCAGGCCACGCCTGTAACCCCAGCACTTTAAGAGGCCAGGGCAGGCAGATCATTTGAAGTCAGGAGTTCGAGACTAGCCTGGCCAACATGGGGAAAACCCATCTCTACTAAAAATACAAAAATTAGCTGGGCGTGATGGCGCGCCTGTAATCTCAGCTACTTGGGAGGCTGAGGCAGGAGAATCGCTTGAACCCGGGAGGCAGAGGTTGCAGTGAGCCAAGATTGCGCCACTGCACTCCAGCCTGGGTGACAGAGTGAGATTCCATCTCAAAAAAAAAAAAAAAAAAAAAGAAACCTTACCTATGGGCTTACACACCTTGCCACCTTTCATTTAAACACTATGTAATTATCATAATTTACAAGGATTTTTGTTCCTCCGTGCCTCCTCCCCTCTTAAGCCAGAGACATAAAAGGTGTTCATGTCCATGATACCCAGAGGGAAGGAAAGCTTGATTTAAGATGCTACCAGGGGGCTGGGCACAGTGGCTCACACCTGTAATCCCAGCACTTTGGGAGGCCAAGGCGGGCGGATCACCTGAGGTCGGCAGTTCGAGACCAGCCTCACCAACATGGAGAAACCCTGTCTCTACTGAAAATACAAAATGAGCTGGGCGTGGTGGCGCATGCCTGTAATCCCAGCTACTTGGGAGGCTGAGGCAGGAGAATCACTTGAACCCAGGAGGCAGAGGTTTCAGTGAGCAGAGATCACGCCATTGCACTCCAGCCTGGGCCACAAGAGTGAAACTCCATCTCAAAAAAAAAGATGCTATTAGGTAGCCACGGATGATTGCCAATTATACAAAAGAAAAGAAGAAGATGCCAGTAGGTCTGCAGGCTGCCTCAGATCCTCACAGACCCTACAGACCCTACAAACCCTGAAGACCGGCCCAGGTCTCCACAGATTCATGACTTGGGTCTGCAAACAGCCCTGTGAACTCCTGCACGCCCTTCAGTTTTCTCCTGGGTAAAATGTATGCCCAGCTTAAGTATTGGTTGGAACTGGATTTTGCCACTGCACGGTGATGAAACAGAATAAACAGCCTTTGCAGGAAAGGGAGTGAAGACCTGAGTAATAAACTACCTCTTCAGCCATAAACAGATCACACTGGATTAATGACCTCTGAGAGAAATGAAATTAATCCTGGGTAGGTGTTACATCAACTCCTTGAGGACAGGGGTTGGGCCCTCCTCACCTTGGTAGCCCTGCAACATCCGACCCAGTGCCTTGCCCGTAGCAGGAACTGAATATTTGTGCAGATGCATGGCCGCACAAATGTATCCAGGGGTACCATGATGTGAAAGTTCATTTTTCCATGAAGATAAGTCGGGGAACGATCATTCCCTTTGCAATGGATTTGAGACTATATTCCAGTCTATAGGTTTCTCCCTCAGATGTCACTTCGCCTAGAAATTCCAAGATGCCGCAGCATTGAGTTGGGTGCACTTCCTCCTCCATCCACCATAGCTCCCTGTGCTTAACCTTATCTAACCACAGTTTTGTAATTGCCTGTTTATTTGACCATCTTCCTCACTGGATTCTAAGGCCCTTGAAGATGGGGCCTGCATCTTGTTTATCATTGTATCCCCAGCAAATAGCAGTCACTCAGATAATATTGATTTAAAATTAAATAGCAAACTAAGGTATTACGTATATGCCTGTTCTCTCACGCACAAAACAAATTCCATCTGCAAACAGCTTTTCAGGAATAAATTCTACTATGCAAAGTTCAGGACACATTCGCCTTGAGAATATACAATATTTGACCTTCTAATCATGTCTCCTTCAAACAAACCTAAAGCTTTCCTGAACAGAGGGCCAGATAAGTAGAGGACCAAAAGGCCAAACCAAGAACCTGGAGTGGAGGGTTCCTGGATGCAGTACAAAACTGCCTTATAGAAGCCCCACAGTGGCAGTTCACACCTGTAATCCCAGCACTTTGGGAGGCCAAGGTGGGCGAATCACAAGGTCAGGGGTTTGAGACCAGCCTGACCAATATGATGAAACCCATCTCTACTAAAAAATACAAAAATTAGCCGGGGGTGACAGCACACACCTGTAATCCCAGCTACTCTGGAGGCTGAGGCAGGAGAATCGCTTGAACCCAGAGGCGGAGGTTGCAGTGAGCCAAGATCATGCCATTGCACTCCAGCCTAGGCAACAGAGCAAGACTCTGTCTCAAAAAAAAAAGAAAGAAAAAGAAAAAGCCACCCAGGCCGGGCGTGGTGGCTCAAGCCTGTAATCCCAGCACTTTGGGAGGCCGAGGCGGGCGGATCACAAGGTCAGGAGATCGAGACCACAGTGAAACCCCGTCTCTACTAAAAATACAAAAAATTAGCCGGGCGCGGTGGCGGGCGCCTGTAGTCCCAGCTACTCAGGAGGCTGAGGCAGGAGAATGGCGGGAACCTGGGAGGTGGAGCTTGCAGTGAGCCGAGATCGCGCCACTGCACTCCAGCCTGGGCAACAGCGTGAGACTCCGTCTCAAAAAAAAAAAAAAAAAAAAAAAAAAAGAAAAAGCCACCCAATGGCTTGTTATAATATAGATTCCCATGCCTTTCCATAGACTGTAGAGGGTGAAGCCTGGGAATCTGTATTTTATTTCTTTTTTAGATAGAGTCTTGTTCTGTCACCCAGGCTGGAGTGCAGTGGCGCAATCTCGGCTCACTGCAACCTCTACCTCCTGGGTTCAAGTGATTCTCCTGCCCTAGTAGCCAGGATTACAGGTGCCTGACACCATGCCTGGCTAATTTTTGTATTTTTAGTAGAGACGGGGTTTCTCCATGTTGTCCAGGCTGGTCTCGAACTCCTGACCTCAAGTGATCCGTGCCTGCCTCGGCCTCCCAAACTGCTGGGATTACAGGCATGAGCCACCACACCTGGCCAAGGAATCTGTATTTTTAACTAGCCCTTGGAAAATTCTTACTGTCAAGCATGATTAGAAAACATTGTTTGTCTGCTGGGTGCCTGTAGTCCCAGCAACTCAGGAGCCTGAGGCAGGAGGATCACCTGAGCCCAGGAGTTCCAGGCTGTAGTGCACCACAATCGTTGCCTGTGAATAGCCAGTGCACTTCAGTCTGGCAAACACAGCAAGACCCTGTTCTGTAAAAATTTTACAGCTGGGTGTGGTGGCTCATGCCTGTAATCCCAGCACTTTAGGAGGCCGTGTCAGGCGAATCACTTGAGCTCAGGAGTTTGAGACCAGCCTGGGCAATATGGCTAAACCCCATCTCTACAAAACAATACAAAAATTAGCCAAGCATAGTGGTGGGTCCCTGTGGTCTCAGCTACTTGGGGGGCTAAGGTGGAAGGATCACTTGAGCCCGGGAGGCAGAGGTTGCAATGAGCCGAGATTGCACCACTGCACTCCAGCCTGGGTGACGGAGTGAGACCCTATCTCAAAA